ACTAGAAATTTGATTCCATACAAAATGAAACAAATTATGTAGATTCACAAAGGTAATCCAAAGAAAACAATTATGTAGATTCACAAAGGTAGTCAAGACCACTCAGCTTGTTTAGGGAAGTGTGAATAGTTCAAAACATTGCTATGGGATGGTAGTTGATACGAATGGCAGGGAAAAAATGTTAGGGAGAAAGACCAAAGGCAGGAAAAACAATTAAATTTTCTTTGCAGTGGTTTATATGAGACATAGCTATATGTGAGAATGACTGAATACTTTTAACTACAGTGGAGAATAAAGGAAAAAAGATGTTTCAAGGGGATGTGAACATAGGTTTTGTAACTATGTTTAAGGTATTTAGATCATTAGGAAGAGATTATGTCTAGTAACACACATATTTAGAGATCAGAAAAAGGATCAAGGCTTGAAATTCAGATTTTTAAGTCTCCAGCATTAAGGGAATTGAGGAGATTCCCCCTACATAAAGAGTGGTAACACTGTCCCTGAAGGAATTAAATTGCCTTTCCCATTTTATATGTTTATGATGTTACCTACTCTATCAGGGCCAAAAGAAGTACAATTTAATCTTGTTAAATTACAATTAAATCAGTGATCTAAATAAGATTTCCATTTCTGAAGCTTGTTTAGTCACATTATTTGTTGTTATTCATGTTATGAGTGGTCTTTTATATTATCATGGTTCCAATATTGTTCAGGGTCTCCCAGAAGATCCTCTGTATTACCTAGAATTCCCAAAGCTCCCTGCACTAATCTATACCAGAAGGGTCCTCCAGATCGGAATAATCTTTTTATAAATCAAAACTAATGTAAATTAACATTTATTATGAATGTATTTTAAGTTTTAGGGCATATAAAATACCAAAGTTTATAATACAGTCCCTGTGTTTAAAATAACTACAATTCTAGATTGAGTGAAAAGGCAAGAACACAAGTAATAAAATCAGTGTGAAGGAGGTAATTTTATCATGAATATAATCTCACCTAGTCCTTGGACAAATAACATAGAGGCATACCTCTCTTCCTCCCCCATTTACACCTATACATTGAACTTTGGGGAATTTAATTTTGTTTTTAACAGTAATTTTATGAAAAGACACTAGATGGAGATAGTGCCTTCCAAAATGGTTTAAAGGCTTATTTTGATCATAGCTAATTTTAGAACCACAAAAGATATTCTTTAGTATCTTATAAACAAGGATTTCAGAGATTTTAAATCTTTCATCTTAAAGTTGGGAATAATGAGGTCTAGAGAGATTAAATGACTTGCCCAATATTCCACAACTAGATAAACAGCAATGCCAGGACTACAGCCAAAATTTCCTATTTAATGCCTAAGGGTTTTACGTTCCTTGCATTAAAAAAGTAAATGTGCTATATTACAGTTTCTACTCTAGAAAATGAAATGATTTTCAACTTATATGGAAAGCACATACTTTTTCATATGGGACAATCACATAAAGAGAAAAAGATACTCCATTGTTTAGAAAAGCATTGGAGCAACTTGGTAACATAAAAACTCCAAAGAGGGCACATCATTTCAGCTCAAGTCACAGGAAAAGTTTAACTTAAAATAGATACCAAAAAAAACAAATCAGCCCTGATCAATGTGGCTCAGTAGTTGGAGTGTTGGCCCAAGAACGACAGGGTCACAGGTTAGATTCCTGGTCAAGGGTACGTACCTGGGTTGTAAGGTTCGATCCCTAGCCCGGGTTGGTGAGCACAGGAGGTAACCAATTGATGTGTCTCTCTCACATCAAGTTTCTTTCTCTCTCTCTGTCCCCACCCACACCCTCCTTTTCCACTCTCTCTTAAAAAAATTTTTTTTAAAAATTGGTAAAAATATCCTCGAGTGACATTAACAATAACAAAAACAATCAAATACAGTAAAATGAGGCAAAAAACCTCTGTTCTCAAGATCTGTATTTCCCAATGCCAAATGAGACAAAGTATGAATACTAATGTTCAAAATGATTCTTCAAGTTTAAAGGAACCATTTTCCTTCTAATTTTAACCTAGTAGTTCTGGTTCTTTCTTATGTTGTAGTACACATGACAGAAGAGATCCATATGGGTCATACCACTCAATGTTCAATTCCTCCATACTAGTTATAACTCCATCCAGTTTTCCTCAAACTCAAAAAAAGATATCCAAAATCAAATGAATGAGAGATGTGGCTGATACTATTAGAGTGGTAAGCTGAAATTTGCTCCATTTTTAAACAAATAAACCCCATAATAATTTCTTGAATACTTTATTCTGTCTATAGCTAAATTACTTAGAAAACACTTCAAATTGACTTGACATTTGGATAAGTAGGTATTATGTCAAGCCCTACCTTTCTTTCTGGTTGGTTAACAACAACCAAAAAAAAGGAATGAAAAATCATTTGCTGTATGGTTAGTTCAAGATCCAGAAAATTTGGGCTAACACAGTAAAATCTGTTAAAGGCAGGTTTCAGTATGTTAGAAATCAGTTACATCATTAAATTTACTGGAACAATGTATGTATTTTAAAGTCATATCATTAAAATAACCCTACTTCTGTAATTTTAAAGAAATTGAAATTAATCAAATCTGAAAAAAAAAAAAGATTTAAAAAAGTATACAAACCCCTAAAGAATAAGATATTTACTTACAAAACAAAAGGATACACCAAGGTTTTATCTTACAAATTTAATTTAGCAGAAAAATTCAGTACACATTACATTAAATGCAAAGTTACGAGATTTTAAATTTGCTACTTCTCTAAGCTCAAAATTCCTGTATCAATTCAGCAAGGCAATGAGACCATGGCTCAGTGAACCCAACATTTGATTTTAAAGGGTTTGATAAATAAAATTTGGCTTTAGTCAGTTTTTCTGGAACATATCTATTCCAATGTGAACAAATATCTGCATATAAAGAATCTAAGATGGGAAACGGTAATTTTAGCTGTTCTCCATCTCCATCTCACTGAAATCTAACAAGAAAAAGTGAATTTATATTCAAGGATGAAAGACACATACTGTATTATGAAAGGATGATCTAATTACAGCGAAATCTCAATTAGCCAGCTAAGCAGATAGAATCCTTAATTAAGCACAATTTCCCTCTAGAAAACAGGCACTGAAATTCAGTCATTCAAAAAATATACTTCAAGTGAAGTGTTCGGTTAAGTACACATTTGGACCAATTCATGTTTTCCTTCAATTTCTACCAGGAGGCAATATTATATGTGCTAGAAAGAATAAAAAATTGGGAGTTGGAAACCTTGAACTATATAATCTTGACTCTGCCAACAAAATATTTTTTGATCTTTAAAATCACCTAACCCTTTCTGGGTCTCAGTTTTCTCAAATGCAAAGTGAGGGTTATAACTTTTAAGCTCTAGAACAATTTTAAACTTTAGTAAAAACCAACTCTACAATACTTTATTAAAATAAAATATTAATTACAAGTGTAGTGGGTAAAACAAAAACAAAAAATGCTCTGGCTAAAAAGTAGGTAGAAGGGGACCATAGCTGTGCCCATAACACAACTCATTCATACACTAGTTTCTGAGGGATTTCATGGAATTCAAATGGATAAAAAACACACCATTTAAAAACCTCTAAACACTAAACAATGAAAATAATTTTCATCATAATGTCACAGGCATTGCAAAATTCAAAAATAAACAGATTTTTGTTTATTAAAAAATTCAAACAAAAGATTTTTTTCAAATAACCAGAAACTGGAAAAGATTTGGTGAAAGTAAATACCTGTTTCTAAGAATTCCAATTAACTAATATTTCATTATATTAAATATAACTACACTAAAGAAATTACAGAGCTGCCATATGTAAAAAACGTCAGAATTAAATATATATCTAAAAATAAAGAAATAATGTTGCCTGACAGAAAAGAAATGGGCTAAATTAGAGCTTTATTAAACTCTGTTAATTTCATAGTTTATTTACATAAAATCCACTACTTCAAAAAGTATTTTAAAATTCCACGTTAGTTCGAATAAGACAAGTCACATTTCACTACCATCAGGTATAAAAGTACCAAAGTAGGATACACATGCCAACTTTAGCCAGAGAAACTCCACACAGAAAAGTTACACAGTGACCTTCCTCACAAGTTTGTATAAATAAAATATTCTAGGGAGCTTAAAACAAACAAATACAATTATAGATATGACTATAATTTTAAAAAGAAATTTCAAAATAATAATTAAAACAGAGTTTATAGGTTTAAACATGCAATATAAAAAACATATACTAAGGTATTTCTTAAAACAAAAATTACAGCCCTGGCCGGTTTGGCTCAGCGGATGGAGCGTTAGCCTGCGGACCAGAGAGTCCGGGATTCGGTTCCTGCTATAGGTATACACCAAAAAAAATAAAAATAAAAAAATAAAAAATTACAAATATCTTAATGTCTCAATCTGCTTTAGAAACATAAGTATAAATTTCTAAAAAATTCCTAAGTTCACTTAAGTTACATTTAAAAATATATAATTTTCAAAGAAATTATATATTTACCTCTTAGTGTTAAAAACACAATTATTTTTAAATTGAGATAAATGTATATAATTTTAGAATTAAAATAGGCAAACAGATTATGGTGTAAAGTTTTAGTATCCCATGTATTTAACTATGAAAAACAAATTTCCTTTTTCTTAACAAAAAAACAAACAACTATCTGCCCAGCCAGTAGGACTCAGTGGATTGAGCGTTGCCCCATGGACTGAGAGGTCCCAGTTCAATTCCTGGTCAGGGCACAGGCCTGAGTTGTGGACTCAATCCCCAGTAGGGGGCATGCAGGAGGTGGCCAACTGATGTATCTCTCTCACGTCAATGTTTCTATCTCTCTCTCCTTTCTCTCTAAAAAATTCAATAAAAACATATTTAAAAAATAAATAAATAAAAATAAAATAAACTATCAATAAGGTGTTCTTACTATAGCTTCTAAAACTGGTCTCTAATGTCTATAATATTCACTCGAAAGTATTCTTACCTTTCTTCTGAGCTATACAATCGAGCGAGTCCAAAATCTGCAAGTTTTATCTGCCCTCTGATGGAAGTAAAACAAAATAAACAAAATATATTAGTCTACTTTGAATTGGTCATACACAATCATATTCTATTCCTAGAACTAATAAAAATTATATTCATATAAACTTCAACTTTGATCACACTGCAGTACTCAAGGTACTATATAGGTAAAGGCAAGTAGATAAACTCAGGATAAAAATGAAGTAAAAATTCACTAATTTTCTTTGGAGAATTTCAGCTAATACTAGTACTATTTCTGATATTATTACTAGTAGTACAGTAGCACTAGTATAACAGTATTTCAGTACTATTTAGTTCCTACTTAGAAAAGTACACTTCAAAGAAAATAAAACAAAATGAGATAATTTCTACTACTTCGTAATAAGACAAATTTACTTGTTCAAGTCAATAATGTTCAAGAACTAAATCACATTGTTTTAAATTTTCCTGTTCTTAGAGGGGCTAGGTGCCTGAAACACATTATACTAACTAAAATCAGGATCAAGCAGGCTTCACTTAAACTAATAAATAATACCAATTACAATAGAAATATCAGGGTTCAGGTTATGTTCTCAGTAAAATAATCAACATAAGCTCTCTCTATATATATCCATTCACATTATTTGACAGAATATCAAACAAATATTATGTACATTACAAACTATTGTTGAACATTAATAAAGTAATGTATGTTTAGCACAAATTCAGAAATAATGTAAGCTATAATGCTGTTGGTTATGCTAAAGTAGTTTGAGCAATGAAATACAGTTGACCCTTTAACAACACAGGTTTGAACTGCACAGGTCCACTCACATGCTGTTTTCTTCAACATATATTGTAAATTTATTTTCTCTTATGATTGATTTTCTTAACATTTTTTTTCTCTAGCTTACTTTATTGTGAAAATACAGTATATAATACATACAATATATGTATTAATCAAGTATTTACGTTACTGTTAAAGCTTCCAATTAACAGGAGGCTATTAATAAAGTGAGAGTCAAAAGTTATATGCAGATTTTCAAGTGTGTGTGTGTGTGGCACCCCTAGCCTCCCAGTTGTTTTTTAGCCTCCCAGTTGTTCAAGGGTCAAATGAAATCTAAACTACAAATCCTTTTAACAAAATCAAAGTATACATTATGTAATACTCACTTTGAACATACATATCAAAACTCATATCATACCTATTATTTAGAAGAATATTTGAACATTTTATATCTCTATGCAAAAAGTTCTTCTTATGACAATAATCCAGACCTTCCATGAGCTGTCTCATAAATGACTTTATGTGATTTTCATTAAAATGAACCAAGCCTGATTCCAGTAGTCCCATCAGATCATGGTCCATATATTCAAATACCAGATAAAATGCACCTAAGAACAGGAATAATTGAAATATTACAGATTTGTATACTTACAACTTTTTGATAGGCTCAAATTAAAAATATAATTCTGCAGTGAAAATTAATCCTTGAAAAGAAGTACTACTTTGTCACTTTGATAATGTTCATCTTTCTCTCTGAATTTAATGTCAAGAAATACATCCCAAAGACATATCGAACCCAGTTTGCATCCTGTAAACAAAACTCTTATGATATAAAATCACCCTATTGATTTTCTGGGTGTAATTAATGTAAAAAAAATTCTTAACTTTTACATAGCAAACAAACGGTCTCTCAGCAAACATGGAATAAAACCAGTATAGCTCATTAAAGAAAATTTAAAGGTAATATAAGAATTGTTTTTTATTAATGTTGTTAACCCTCACCCGAGGATATTTTTTCCATTAATTTTTAGATAGAGTAGAAGGGAAGAATGGAAAAAAGAGAGATATTGATGTGAGAGAGACACATCGATTGGTTGCCCCCTGCACAATCCCAACAAGGGACGGGGATCGAACCTGCAACCGAGGTATGTGCCCTTTGGTCCTCAGGCCGATGCTCTAACTGCTGAGCCAAACTGGCCAGGGCAAGAATTGTTTTTAATAAAAAAAAAATCTGAGCTCAGTTGGACTTTAGATGATTTCCTTAAAGCCTTCAACATGTAATTTAATTCTACCTATATAGCTCCAGAGCATTTGAAAGAATACAAATTACAACTTTATGTTATAAAACCAGCTTAATCCTGCTACCAAAACCTAATACAACGTAACACATACACAACTGTTCTTATGAGATTCAAAAATCCTAAATGAGACTTGTACAAATTGACTCCAAAGCTACATTAAAAAATAATCCAATCAAGTAGAGTTTAATTTAGCGATTCAAGAACAGAAAAGCTAGTAAAATTCAATACAACTACTTGTTAAAGGAAAAAATTATCAATATGCAAATAAAAGGCTTGAAGAAAATTCATGATCAGTTTATAATTAAAAACAAAGATCCTGTAGTAAACTTAAAGTTTATAATGGCACTTCTCTGAAACCAACAATTAATGATACATTTACTAGTAAAAGGCCAGGTGTTATGCACAAAACAAAAACATTAATTATTACTAACTGTCCTAGTAGTAAAATTAAAAACAAAATATAAATATTAAGAGACAAAAATATGGACTTCCGGTCAAGATGGTGGCGTAGGGAAACGCGGTATCGCGTCCTCCCACAACCACATCAAAGTTACAACTAAACTACAGAACAACCATCATTCCAAACCGCCTGAAATCAAGCTGAACGGAAGTCCTGCAACTACGGAATTAAATCAGCAGCCACATCCAGACTGGTAGGAAGGGGGGGGCGGGGGCGGCGCGAGGGGCGGCGCGGCGGGCTGGTCCCACACCCAAGTGTGGCTGATAAAAATCAGGAGGCTCCCGCGGCTGGGAAGGTCCTTCCTGAGGACTGAGGGGTCCCCATCCCACACCAGGTGCCCAGTGCCAGGAAGAGAAGTCCCCATCACTTCTGGCTGGAAAAACCAGCGGAAACTGAGGCTCAGGGAAGCTGAAGCGGCTGGAGCCCCAGGCAGCTCCCTAAAGGGCCCACGCATGGACTTATCGGACTCTCCCTCTAAGCTCGGAGGGGAGGCAGCTCGAGGGGCACCAGAGACATACAGGGAAGAACTGAGCTGTTTGGCACTGGAGCGAGGGCTGGAGAGGGGGCTTTCTCAGGGACAAACGTGCTGTAAGAGGCCTTTGTTCCTTTGGTGAGCCCTTCCCATGGGCGGCAAGCAGTCTCCATATCTGGGACTCCAGCAACCTGGCTCACACTGGTAGCCCCATCCTGCTGACTCCCTGAGGCCCCGCCCCACACAACTTTCAAGCCCACCCAAGCTGTTGCCACTTGCTTAACCATAGGATTGGCCAGTCTGGGATCTTGCTTCAGGTTTTTCCTAAATTTTTTCAAAGGAGCAGCATCGGGTCTCAGCGAGCCCTATACCTCTCATTAAGTAATACACTGAAACAAACACAGGGAGGCAGCCAAAATAAGGAGACAAAGAAACAGGTCCCAAATGAAAGAACAGAACACAACCCCAATAAAAGGACTAAGCGAAAGGGAGATAAGCAACCTAACAGATACTGAGTTCAAAATACTGCTTATAAGGATGCTCAATGAACTTAGTGAGAACCTCAGTGAACTTAGGGAGGGCCTCAAGAGCATAAAAAAGGACCAGTTAGAAATCATGGATGCACAGTTAGAACTGAAAGAGGCATTAACTGAAATAAAGAATAATTTACACAGCTTCAATAATAGAGTATGTAAATCCAAGGAGCAAACCATCGATTTGGAATATAAGGAAGCAAAAAATGCCCAATCAGAACAGCAAAAAGAAAAAAGAATCCAAAAAAATGAGGATAGTGTAAGGAGTCTCTGGGACAACTTCAAGCGTGCCAACATTTGCATCTTGGGGGTGCCGGAAGGAGAAGAGAGAGAACAAGAAATTGAAAACCTGTTTGAAACAATAATGGCAGAAAACTTTCCTAACTTGGTGAAGGAAACAGACATACAAGTCCAGGAAGCACAGAGAGTCCCAAACAAGATGAACCCCACGAGGCCCACACCAAGACACATCATCATCAAAATGCAAAAGGTTCAAGACAAAGAGAGAATCTTAAAAGCAGCAAGAGAAAGGCAGCTAGTTACATACAAGGGAGTTCCCATTAGGCTGTCAGCTGATTTCTCAAAAGAAACTTTGCAGGCCAGAAGGGAGTGGCAAGAAATATTCAGAGTGATGAAAACCAAGAACCTACAACCAAAATTACTCTATCCTGCAAAGCTGTCATTTAGAATTGATGGACATATAAAAACTTTCCCAGACAAGAAAAAGTTAAAGGAGTTCATCACTACCAAACCGTTATTATATGAAATGATGAAGGGTCTTTTTGAAGAAAAAGATAAAATGTATGAACAAACAAAATGGCAATGAATACATATCAATCAACAATGGAATCTACAAACAAAATAAACAGGTAGAACAGAAACATTCTCATAGATACAGAGAACATTTTGTTGGTTGCCAGTTGGGAGGGGGGTTGGGGTGATGGGTGAAAAAGGTGAAGGGATTAAGAAGCACAAATTCATTGCTAGACTGACAAACCTCAAAGGGAAAGGGGTTGGGGGGTGGGAAGAAATAAACCAAAGAACTTATATGCATAACCAATGGACACAGACAATAGTTTGGGAAATGGTGGGAGGGGGGCGGGAGTGGGGAGGAGGGGGTCAATGGGGGGAAAATGTGGAACATCTGTAATACATTTTACATCCAACAATAAAGATTTGAAAAAAAATAAAACATAAAACATAAAAAATAAAATAAAATAAAAAATATATATATATATAAAAAAAAGAGACAAAAATATAATTATTGGTAGATATGACTGTCCTAAAAATCCAAAAGAACAAAAGGAGACTAGCTGGGTTAGAGAAAATCATATACAAAAAGCAAAAAAGTTCATATATATCATCAACAGTTCAGTAGAAAATAAAATTTAAATGATTCCACAATAGAAAAATTTTACTACAAATGATTGGGGATAAACTTTAATGAGAATTATTCAAATTCATTAAGAAATACCAAATTGTAAAATTTATATTTTAAGGCTATTTCAATAAAAGGACCAATGACTTGTTTTTGTTTTCTTTTGCTGAAGGGACACTCAACTTGACAAAATAATTATAAAATTCACCCTGAAGAAAAGTAAAACCAGAGTGCTAACCAAAATGTTTCATGTTTCTGAAGATAAACACTTGCCCTACTAGAAATTAATATGACCTACCATACGAAAAGTACAGCCAGAACAGAGTAATATAATATACAAGAGGAAAAAAATCCCAAATGTATGTATCTAATAATTATTAAAACAGCCATTTTAGTCTGTGAACAAATATTGAAAATCTAAATTAGAATCAAAAGGAAATGCTAGAAACCAAAAACAGTGTAACAGAAGTAAAGAATGCCTCTGACAGACTCATCAGTGTATAGAATATGGTCAAGCAAAGAAATCAGTAAGTTTGAAGATATGTCAATAAAAACTTTCCAAACAAAAATGCCAAGAAAAAGATAGCATGCTCCCAAATTGTGTACAACTACAAAAAGTGTTAATGTGTGTATAATGAGAATACCAGAAACAACAAAAAAATAAACAAAACACAAGAAATATATGAAATAAAAATAAAATTTCTCCACATTAATAAAATATATGAAAACCATAGATCCAGGTAACTTGAGAGAACACCAAGGGGAACAGCAAAACACATCTAGGTATATCACATTCAAACTGCTGAGACTCAAAAACAAAAAGAAAACCCTAATAGAAGCTAGAGGGAAAAAATATCTTACCTATATAGTATCAAAGATAAAAATTATGTCTGATTTCTCTTAAAAAACTATATGAATGAAAAAAAGAGTAGAATGCTGAAAGAAAAATCCACCAACCTAAACTTCCATATCCAGCATAATTATTCTTCAAAAGTTACAGAAAAATAAAAACATTCTCAAAAAAAAAGAAATTTGTCACTAGTAGATCTGCTTTGTCAAAGGCCAAAGAAACTCTTCAGAAAAAAAGGAAAATGAAATAGAAAATTCAGAGCCACATAAAAAAAAGGAAGACCACTAGAAAAAAATAAGTAAAGGTAAAATAAAATCTTTATTTTTATTAATTTATGTTTACTCAAAATAATAACAGCAATAATGTTCTCCGTGACTATAGATTGTGGATAAGTAAAATGAATAAAAATAATGTTACAAGAAATGGAAGCGAGGAACTGGGAATGCTCTGCTATGAGATATCTCTACTACCTATATAGTAGTATACTGTTATTTTTAAATTGTAAATGTATGCTGTGAACACAAGGACAACCACTAAAGATAATTTTAAGCAGCATCATTGATAATAAAAGAAAAGGAGGAAAAAAATGAAATCATATAAAAAGCTTCATTAAG